CCAGCTGGCCCCACAGAAAGTTTTGTTTGAGGTTTTTGCCATGGCCCATAGAACGTTTTAATCCTGGGCCAGCTTCTTTCAATCATGCATGCACTTCTGATTGGCTTTTCTCTGTCACCCAGCCAACACATGCCCAGAAACACACACACACACACACACACACACACACACCCCTTTCAAATAAAGGTCTACCACAAACATGTTGTTTACTGTGCTATTTCTTCCTTTTTATTTCCTCCCCTCCTTCTCCACTAACTCTGAAGAGAAAAATATTCTCTATTTATCCTTTCAGAAGAGGCGGCTCGACTGGAACTATTCTGAGGACAGGAAAAGCTGCAGAAGAGGAACAGATGACCATGTGTGGAGTGCTCAGGTCTCTTCTGGATGAACTTCTGAGAAATGGAGTGGCAGTGGAGGCCTAACCTGGCCCTGCTTGGGGGCAAGGGGGCCCATTTCAGATCACAGAGTTGTCAAGTTTTAGGGCTGGAAAGGACCTTAGAGAGCATTTAACCCACTCACTTCACTTTACAGATGACATGAAGATGAGACGGATGTAGAGTCCTGCCCAGAGTCACCTACAGTTGGCATCAACTCAGTCTTGTTTTCTAAAAACACCACGTGGTATGAACGGAGCTGAACTCTTATGGGGCTGGAGGATGACGAAAGTCAAGGGACACTTATTAAGCACCTACTATGTACAAGGCACCGATGGTGCTAAAGACACGAAGATGGGTGACACACAGGGATTTAGGACCGTCCTACGAAGCCACGCGTCAATACCTCTCTTAGCAGAGAGAACACTGCGCGGGGCAGGCTGATGGTGACGAGGCAGCTGCGGCCTGGAGAACGGACCTCACACAGGTGGCCCTTCCTCTCTGTCCCTGTCAGAGCATGTGCCTGATACACAGCTGCTGGCCGGAAAACCCTCAGAGCCCTGAGGAGTCTCCTCCCACAGGCCTCGGTCATTTTCAGGCTTAGCCTCTCCCATGTCCAGCAGTAACGGAGTGCAACAGGCCCCACAGTCTCCCCTCAGTTCTTTTGCTTCCCCCTTGTGTCCAGTGTTAGACACTCTGCAAGGATTCGGACTGTGCTCCAAGGTACTATCAAAGTCACCCCAGAAAATGCCCCGGTATATAATACATATACACACATCACTGGTATATAATACCAAGCACCTTCTTAACCACCTCTTCCATGTCTGTGTGGAACGTAAAATATTTCAGTTTCCTACATCATATCCATGCTCCAATTCCCCATACTCCAAAAGAGGTGGAAGATGTCATTGCTGGTCAGAGTAAGACAGACTGAAGAGGCAGTGGCAAACATGAATGAATTGATCATAAAAAATAATCTCCCACATTTATATAGCACTTTCCAGTTTATATTGTGTTTTCTCCCGATTATCACGTTATATTCTCACCACGACTCTGTGAGGTAGTTAGTGAAGATATTATTCCCACCGTTCAGCTGGAGAACCTTGGGCTTGGGAGACCAAGTGGCTTGCCCTCCGTCACCCAGCCAAGAAAGCAGGAAGCCAAGGGTCTGTGTTTCTTGGCTCCAAACCCAGTGCTCTTAGCCTCTATAGTCTATAATTGGCAGGCAATTGAATGAATTGCCCAAGATCGTACACCTGCTAAGTGTTGGTGATGGGGTTAGGATCCAGCCTCTAATCTGCTAGTGTGGCGCCCTTCACCAAACCAACTAGCTGAGCCACTGTGCTCGGAATGACTACCAAGGAAGATGGGGTGGGGGGAAGGTCTGGTGAGCTGCTTACTCTTTTCTGGGTCTGAGTTTCGCCCTCTCTTT